CGCCGGCGTTCGCGGCGTTTCTGTGCCCAACGCTGTGATCGGTCTTGCAGTCGCTTACGGTGGTCTGGCTCAATTCATCGCTGGCGTTTGGGAGTTTGCATCCGGAAACACATTCGGTGCTACCGCTTTCTGCTCTTACGGAGCCTTCTGGTGGAGCGTGAGTATCCGTCTGCGAGACATTCCAAATAGCTCGGCGCTAGCTCGCGAGGTGAGAGGTCTGCATAAGCGAAGCTAACACTCCCTCGTCGTTTCGTGATCGACACAGTACGCTGCCCTCTTCATCCCCTTCTTTGGCATTCAAGAGGCTTTCATGGCTGAGAACGTTTTCGAGTCCCAGTTCACCTCCGCTGTCGGCATCTATCGTGAGTGTGCCTTGGCTGACAGCTTCAAATAGCGCTGTCTATTGGACCATATGCTGACTCTTCGCTACGCCTCCTTTTGCACAGTGTGAGCCAAAGTTTCATCGTCTCCACAGCCCCGAATTTGTACGATTGCTGACCTTTACGACTCCCGGCCATGCTCTCTTGCCTTCATTTGACCCCGTAGCGTGAGTACATCGAGCGCTTGTTACTGCAGTGCGTCCGAAAGAAACCCTACGCTGACAACCTGATTGATCCTCACTGCGTGGATGTGCTCTCTTACACGCCTTGATACATCCAGACCTCTTGGGGAATTTTCACTTGTGAGCTCAAGATCTCGTGACGCGAGCGTAGTCGAACCTCACCGTTGACGCAGCCTTGCATATCTCCTCAACAGTCATCATGCTGCTCGCCTCTTTCCGAGCTTCCATTGGTCTCGCCTCTCTGTTCCTCTTCCTGGACATCACCTTCTGGCTCCTGGTCGGCGCGGGTGAGTCGTGCGAAGTTTGAGCACGAAGGCGACTTTGATGCTCACCTTGAGGTATCTTTCGTTCATCCAACAGAGTTCAGCGGCAACTCGATGGTCGAGACTGCTGCTGGCGCTTTCGGCATCATCACTGCTGCCATCGCCTTCTATGTCGGCGCTGCCGGCTTGCTGACTCCCGAAACCAGTCTCTTCACCCTGCCCGTCGGTGACCTCTCTCGCAAGGACTGAGCGTTGCCGCCAATCGACGCAGACAGCACAGTGTCATGTCAATGCGCTTCGCCGTCCAGCCGAGACTGCACACTCCCTGCTGCTCCTTGCACGACTGCATTATATCCAGCTCTGTTCCCGTATCCAGTCTCTCATCCAGTCCTTGTACCACTTCCCCACCACACATGTGGAGCAACGGTCTTTCAGGGTAAAGCGACCCTCAAGTCTTTGACTTGCATTGACATCGATTCCGA